AACATTCGTGAGTTTATGTTTGATAGAACCATTAAAATAGTACATACATTCCAAAAACAAGTTTTAAATTTAACTCAGTTGAAAAGTTAATTAGGAGGATTTACAAATAAATACAATTTGTAATGGTTTACTAATTCCAGAATATTTTCTAAAGAATCTTTTATAGTTTTAAGATGTCTATTAATGCATGAGATATTAATATATAGCTCTTTTCTTATAATGGTTTTGCACAAATTCAATATTTTGTACAAATATATTTATTAATTATTTTACAACTATTATGTCATTATAAAAAATGTAATTATTTTTTATAAAACTCCTTTAATTCCTATCATATATAAAAAAAATGGAAATATATCATATAAAATTAATATTATAATGGTAATATTAATATTTTCCGAGGATTCTGAAAAAATTTTAATAACTTATAAGTCGGAGTTAAACTCTCAAACGAGTCGAAGTCGAACATTTCAAGTGCCGACATCGACAGAATTCTATTTAGCATAATTCTTCAATATGTTAAGCGCGATATAAAATTCTCCAGAACACAATTAATTTCTTAAGAAATTTGAATGTCTTTACTAGCTTAGAAAGACTATATTTATTCACTATCTCACACCATACTACTGAATTATACGGCAATAAAAAATTCTCTTACGCGCTTCTTTGTCCCATTCAACAAATGAGGTTTTCTGAATGCAGCATTTAGGGAAAGCTGATGCAGCTCCTGAAAGGGTACAAAACACTGGTACCGTTTCTAGTTCTTTATTATTAATACCTCTTATACACACAATGCCTAATCCTTCCCTGTGTCATGAATTTTAAACAAATAGGTTTACACTATTTTCTCATATTTACCATTCAAATGAATAATAATTTTCTTTAAAAAATATCAGAAATGAAAATAATCCGAATCCTTTTGAAATATTGTTTCCAAATCCAGTATTTTATTTTAAAGCTTAAAAACTATGTGTTAAATTTAAAACTTTAAAATAATTCAATTTCATATAAATGTAAATTAAAAAAATGAAAAGTGCTTTGGCCTTTTTTTTTTATAAATATGGACCAAAAAATCGGACAAACACGTATTTCTGACACATATCGTTGATAAAAAAAATCTTAAATAACAAATAGATCATATCAAATCACGAAGCGTGAAATATCACCTTCAGAATTACATTTTACTAAAGTGTTCGAAGCGTGAAACGTTTGAATATTTTCACCATCTATAATAATAAAAGAAAGAGCATGTGTGCTTGTGTCTGTGCGTCTCCCCTATTCCTTAATCGTTTAAACAAAAACCTTCAAATTTGGGCAGCTGGTGAAAGTGACAATTTTAGCCAATGAGGCTTAACATCATTCAAAATTTCAATTAACAGGTTATGGAGGGACGTTAGAAAAATCAATGTTTCAGCATTACGCATTAACGAAAATCAAATTGCAGACGATTTTGTTTCTGGATTATTGCAGACGATTATTTACTGGATGGCAACCATGATGCATCCTTGCTTACATCTCTATATAATCAAAAAAAAAAGTTTCACTGAGAGTTTATTACCGTTCTTCAACAATTATTTATTTTTGAATAAGTCATGTACGCTGAAGGTAAATCAAACTGATTGGTATGTGAAATAATCGAATAAGTATTTTTAAAACTATATGAGACTACGATGTGCTTGTTTTGTTTACGATTTATAAATGCGTTTTTATAAATCTAAACAAGGCAAAAGCAAAGGTAATTGAAATTTTAAAAAAATAAGTGATGTTTATGAGTTTATATTAGTTATAATAATAATTATTAAAGTTCAACATTCCTGGAGAATATTGCTTGATTGTGGTTAATTTTGACTATCATAAATTGGCAGCAATTCATAACATCATTTTTTGGTGCCGAACGATTTTGAATATATTCATTTATTTATAGATGAGGTGAACTTCCATAAACTTGTTTTGATTAATCTAATTACGTAAAGTCAGGCAGAAGGGCAGAAATTAAATAAAGATAAATAAATAAATTTAATTATTTTAATTGTGTCGCTATTTGCCTTTCAGATTTGTACATGATTACGTAGTGTTGATTAATACGGAATTATTAATTTCTATTATACTTCTTACGAAAAACGGATATTTAGCTGCTCGCTATAAATATGCAAATTTTAAAAGACATTATTTAATGTTCTAAACGAATTTTTTATTCATAAACTTCCCATTTCTAAAATAAAAAAATAGCTATATCCTTTTAAAAAAAAGTGAGAAAAATAAAGATTTTTGTTAAATAGAGTCACAGTAACATAACTGAAATATACTTTTGTATTTATTTTTAATTGATAACTGTGTAGCGGTAGAAAAAAAAATGGAATAAATGTTGCAATCACAGCTGTGAAACCCGAACTATTGCAAGTTAAATAGTTTTCCAATTGTTCTTAATATGCATGGATGGTTTCGGAAAATTTTCTGCTCATTTTAATTATTATTAATTTAAATTACAACTGTTGTCACATTCATTTTGAAAACTAAAACAAAACAATAAGACACATAACTTCAAATTAGTATGCCTTTAGGAAAGGTTTGCAATGTATCATTAAAGATTTCTTTGAAATTAAGGAATATAACAAACTGATTTTTTTTATTGCTTTTTAAAAGAATGATCATTCGTTAAAGCAGGCAAATTTTTTAAAACATTAAATTTTTTTTTTAATTGAAAATTTTTTATTTTTTGCTCATATTTGTAAGAATATGCATTTATATTTTTTTTAGTTTTCATTAATTATGCTTTTATTTATTTTAATGAAATTGATGCATTTTTGCATGCATTTTTTTTTACTTAAAATTTTTATTAATATTTGTTTTATATTTTCTATTTCTCATTCTTATTTTTTTTATTTCAATTACCATTGCTTTTGCCTTGTTTAGATTTATAAAAACACATTTCTAAATCGTAAACAAAACAAACGCACCGTAGTCTCATATAGCTTTAAATATACTAATTCGATTACCTTTTCTATGTGCCTTATACTTTTCAAACTTAATCGAAATTTCAACCGCAATTTCCCGAAAATCAAGTTTTTTAATGTAAAGAATGCAATAAAAAATATGAAAAATTCATTATAATTTTTTAGTGCAGTCAATTTTTATTCAGGATTTCTTTTTTTTTTTCATTTTCATTTATTAATTATTATTACTTTTTACTTGTTTAATTACTTGTTTTAACAACGTCACCTAAACATTTTAACAACGTTCGACTTTTTTCACAAAATTAAGTGACTTATGAAATTACTTTATTTTTTTATTATTATTCTGCATATATAGATCAGTATTAATGCAAACATCAATAGTATCAGTACAAAAATTCTTTCCTTTCTTTTTTTTTTCAAAACAATTCTTTATTATAATTTTTTTATTTGAATTATTCTGAAAGTTTACATAAAATAAAAATAAAAATAAAAACACATGTAACTTTGAGAACATTTAAAACGATTTCAAAACAAATTAAAAGTTTTATTTGATACCTTCTAACGCTTTCGCCAATTTGGAGGAATGCTTTTCCCCAATACGTGATTTTCCTATGTATTAAACAAGTAGAAATGAATGCGGAGAAAAAAATTCTGGTGAAAATGTGTTAATTTATTTATTTTGTTTCATTTTATTTTTTTACTTGTAGGACCGTAAAGGTTAAGGAACATGAAAAATATTTTATTTCAATTATTTTTAATGAAATTGCAAAACTAGAACCATTTAATCCAACTTTTCATTAATTTCAGGAAGAAAAAAAAATCTATATATTGTATTATTTCATTAATTAATGAAATGTTACATTTTGAAATAAATTCTTTTCACTTAAATTTCTTTTTTTTTAATGTTCTAAAGCATTTCCCTCATCTAATTAATTTTTTTATTTATCTTTTAACATTATTTATGATTAGTACGGACGTAAATTGAGACAATTGTTTTATCATTTTATTTAATTATTTTATTAATTATTTTATGGACATAAAGTACCACGAAGAGGGCATGACCGATCACTTAGCAATTTGATAATTGCAATGAAAAAAAAAATTTTGGTCGGTAACAAGGGATTTAGTGAAATTATTTGCTTTTCTTCATTCGCGTTATTGGATATTGTGCATATGATATTTGGATCTATGACTGTCCGTACGTCAGTAATCAAATTTTTTTTTAAAATTTGCCTTTTAAAAAATGCATCACAAATGTTTCTCTGTTTCACCAAATGCTATTCTATGTCAATTGCATAAGATTGTACAAAATAAAAAATTTATTTAAGGAAAAACCGACCTTAAGAGAAATGAAAAAATAGTAAAGCAAAAGTTTTGCTTTAGAACAATTTTGTTAACAGCCCATAAATTTCATTAATAATATCAAATATCTTAATGAAATTAACGAAATTTTAAAATTAATTTGTGAAATTAGGAAATTTTAATTGAATTTTTTAAAGGACGAAATTTTATTCATCTTTTTAAAACAAAAAATATATTACTAAAATCTTTCTCACATTATCTTAAATCTAGAATAAAAAATATTCAATTTCTCGTTGAAAATGAGATTGTAAAGAAATTTTTCAGTTAACAAAATTTCAAAATTCCAAATAGTTTGTTTTTCTTTTTTTTCGGTTTTCAAAATTATTTGCAGGTGCTAAATGCAACTTTAGTTCGCTCTTAATCAACATAATATTGTTTTACTAATAGTTTACTGTTATTAGTATTAAAACATATTTGTCAAAAATTCATACATTGTAAATTTTTTATTCCTCTATTTGTTTTGCAGTCTTATAATCAAAAATGCTTTTAAAAGAAGCTTTAAAAAAGATATTTTCAAAAAAAATTGTTTCAGGCATTGTTTCCAATGAAAAATTTCAAATGATCTTTGCACATCATTGCACATTATACGTTAAAAATAATTTGACTTTAACATTCGGAAAAAAATTAACCAAGTAAAATTAAAAATACAATAATTTATTATTTGTTAAATATGACTATATTTACCTGATCAAATCGGTATTCCAATCAAATTCCGTTAAAAAAAAAAATTCTTTTTTTATCGACCGGAAAATCACAAAAAACGATATCTCATCCACATCCAACCTCCTGTAATCATAAGATCTTCTGAATGAAATAGAAGGGTAAAACTCAGAGAGAAATATTTTTTACGGCAGACGATGGAAAAGGTAAATTCAAAGTGCGCATGCGTCCGCTTCTCAAAGTTTACTTCCGCTCTGATTTCACGTGCGGCCAGCATTCTTATTGGTGGACCGCTACAGGTGACGTTGAATTCTTTTCGGTAAAACTAGATGCCGTTTCTGTTCAAGAAATGAGAAGGAAAAAAAATAGTAAAGTGAAAGTATTTCCACCCTAACACTCACCTCCGGGGCAAAAACGTGGCTTTGTTTATGTGTATATCTTTTTTTTTTCTCCGAAAGATTACGGTAAAACCCTTCATTTCCCAAACAGTTACAGGCGTTTCATCCTAAATGAATCACGTTTTTCAAGTGTTTCTTTCGTTTTCTTAATAAAACGAAAGAATTTTATTACTAATTGTAGGGGCTGTCCATTAATGATGTCAAAGCTTTTTTTTTCTTTTTTTAATATTTTTAACCACTGTTCCTCGCTATGTTATACTAAATAAACATCTACTAGCAAACAAAGCATTACGCGTTAGATCACATTTAAAAAATAACGTTTTTTAAAAAAAAAGAGGAAGAGATTATATTGGGAACGACAATACTAAGAAATTGAAAACCTCAAAAAGCAGAAAGAGGTAAGAAAACTCTACAAAAACGTCAATATTTTAAGAAAATAATTCTGAACTAGAATCCTCACATGTCTTAATAAAAATGGATAATGACAAAACAGAAATACGGTATACTCTCGATATCTTAAAGTTGAAGGGATGCTAAAAAAATTTCGAGATAGCGAGTTTTCGAAATAACGATTTTAGAGCTAAATTTGTTCTAAAAAGTAGAAAAATATATTCTACTCTAAAAAGTAGAGTCTTGAAACATAACATAAGAAAAACTACTATTAAATATGTATGTAATGATAGTTGACTTGAAATCTAAATACACCAATAATAATTTTTTTTTTTGAAAGTAAGATAAAAATAACTATGCATTAAATAGAAAAGAATTGATATACAATAAACTTACTTTGGGATTTTTCGGAAAAAATTCAATTCCTATTTCGAAAAAAAATTCGACACAACAAGGTTTTGAGAAAAAACTCTTCGACTTAGGAATTCAAATTAACATTCGGTGCATATATAATGACAAGGGGGAAAATATTTTTTTGACATAACAAGGTTTTCGAGTTATGAAGAGTGTACTGTACTTATTAAATGGTGAGAACATTTCAAGAAATCATTAAATGGTAAAGATGAATTACAAGGCCTTTAACGGAAACACCTAATGTCGCATGTGGAAATAAATGAACAAACACCCCCTATACTGGGGGAAGTGGAAATGGCAATTAGTGATTCGAACAATAGTAACAGTTCAGCAGGGCTGGATGATATCAAAGAAAAGCTTTTGAAAATTACAGACTCTGGCTGATCGAGATGGATGGAGCTTCTTGGGACAATCATGGATAGAAATCGGCTGTTGTGCTGGTAGAAGAAGAGGGAGAAATTTGTAAACAACATTTTTGAACCTGTTTACTTCCTCAACAGCCCGCTTCAGGCTAGGAGAGTATTATTTAGGTTAAGGCTCCACAATTTCGTGACCATTTGTATAATTATGGTTATACAGCCAGGCTGCCTTTTTTTCCCCCCAGACCAGCTGAAAGCCGCAGAATTAAGGCTGGATGCTCTTCAAGCCGCCACTGAGATCGAACCTCAGCTCTTCACAGTGACAGTTCAGTGTCCTAACCACTGAGCCATCGCGACATAAACAATAGAGAACATAACAATAGTAATATTTTATGTGTACTTATAAATCACTGTAGGGGTGGAGAAAGAATTATGGATAAATTGAAGTTAACTTTTGCTTCAACTGCAAATTTTGCTATTTTTACTTTCTCTTTTACGATAGTTCGAATGCCTCGAAAAAAAACAAGTTTTTATTTATTTATTTATTTAAATGAAAACGTTTCCAAAAGACTTAACTAAGACTTAATTTGAACCTTAATTAGCATCAATGATTTTCAAAACAAAATAACATCAATGAAAATACAAAACAAAACCGCTGGAAGAAAACAACATTTTTAAATTTTACATAACTTAAACCTAAGATGAAGAAAAAAAATCTATATATCTACATAAAAATCACATGAAAATTATGACGGATCCCATTGGACTGGTAAATCACATGGCATGACTCCCAAGTAGATCAATATTTCCTTGGTTATTATCAATATGAAATAATTAAAAGCCATAAAGGTATAGTTAGCCTGTAAAATATTCGTTTATCCCTACTTATTTAACTACAAATAAAATTGAATTATCATTGTTTCTTAGTATACATGTCTTATTTTGACTATGATTCTTAATATTTTTAAAAAATCCGACATAAATGTGAAGATTTATATCTGGCAACATCTAATATCTCACTCTCTTGTTTTATTTATTTATTTTTTTTAATTTCATTTAATGTTGTTTTTCTTTTTTGTTATTTGTGACATTAAGCTTGAGCTTATAGAATAAGGGTCTCTAGAGAGAAAAAATTTTTTTTTCAACGACGGATAAATAGTCATTAAATGTTAATAATTGCAAAAAATACTCATTAACTAATATTATGATTAATTATGAATTTATTATTAAATTATATATATTTAATTCATAATTAACTTATAATTAATTATTAATAATGAAAATAGTCCTTTCCCCTCATCGAATTTCAACTCTGCTGTTGCATTGTAGCTGGCTGTAAATTGTCTCACTTGGTATTCTTTACTGAAAGTTTATAAGTTGAAAACTCTCAAACTAATGGCCAGATCTTAATTTAATTTTGTTTATTTATCATACTTCTTAAAAAAATTTCTACTCATCCTCATAATTTCGAGTCCTTTTTATAGTTTTTGGGGCAGCAAAACAAAATATAATCTAAAGTCAAAAATGAAATAAAATATGCGCAAAAGTAACATTGAAAACAATAACTTTCAAACAAATTAGACTTTTGAAAAAAACTCGTGTTAAGTTTATGTGTGTTACTGTGGATGACTGAAATTGGTGGTTGTTGACTTTCTTCGGTGAATGTTAACAATCACATATAGTTAAGTGCCACTGCCCGGTATACCCTATATAAATGTTTTTTTAAGGTCAAGTGTCACAGCCCAGTATACATTTAACCGGTACTCCGAACACTGATGTTTCGCCTAATCTATCCTCAGCTGATATTCAAATATCGAATAAATATAATATAAATATCTTCATAAATTTCTTACAGTCAGGTCAAATGTATTTTTATTTCAAACTAGAGAGAAAAGGTAATATAAATCTGCTAACTACTCTATTGTTTACATATTGAGTTGACAGAAACTAAACATGTACTTATTTTTAAGCGTATACATTTTAAACTAATAACAAATGTGCCTGGACCATTGTTAGAAGTTCAAAATCTGTCAATTATATGAAAATAATTTTATAACATTTAACTTCAATTCACTTCGGTTTTGTTAGAATTCAAATTGATATTCTGTCTCTGCTGAGTGTATGTTTAATTAACAAACTAATTTCATTTTAGGAAATATTGTATACATGCATTCTAAATTTATTATTCTTGCGTTAGATCGTATCGTGAAAGTAACTTTACTGCACTCTTATGCGTATCATACCTTACTGTAATTATAAATTTTAGCATTACTGAATCACAAACATGGTGAAACATGATACTGAAACACGTTACTGAATAACAAACTACTTTACACTAAGTATAGTGCAGCTTTCAGGAGGACTCCTCCAGACACACGTCTCGCGTCGTGGCGGGTACTATGGTTACGAGGAAAGGTCACTTCGAATAGGGGTGTGGGGTGAATAGTTTTGTCGTAATCTTAGCGTAGGTCGTCGTGAGTAAGACAATCGACATCTTCCTTCCTTCATTCCACCCCCATTAGAAATGTGCTCTCGCTTGTAACCATAGCGGCAGATAGCCCTAGACTTTCAGTCTGGAGTAGTTCTCCTCAAAGCGGCACTATATTAATGAACATTCTATGTGTTTCTCTACTCCAGAAACTATCCTCGGTTTTGGTGTCGAGGAACACTTATCAAATATACTTTGGTCTAAAGTAATTGCCACCATTTTTTTGTATTCAGATTAATGAAAAGTTTTTACATTGTATGATTTTTTTTTATCCTTCTCCCCCATTATGGAGCATTCGGGTTCCCTCAAGGGGAACCCCAAGTAAAGCACATCTCCACGCTGCCTGGTAATCCATCTGACCCACCACCCTTTGCATTTATTAAAACAACAAAACAATACAGAAAAGTAGTTTCGGCAATACATAATTTTCAATTTACAAATTTTAGGCATGAAAATTAAAACATGTAAAAACCACCGTCAGAATGCAAGGTGTAGAGGATAATAGTTTTTTTAGTTAAATGAAAGTAATAAAAGTTTTAACAGTAAATACTCAAATGTTTGCATTTATTTTATGAAGACTTAAAGGGCTAAGAAAACCCCTGTTCGCTGACGCTCACCAACCCCGATGATTGGTTCGCAATAATTGCTGTTTCTTGGCATAAAAGAGCTGAAATAGTTCGACTAAAAATAGATGTACTAAAAAGAACACTTGTGTCTACACTTCCTACTTTCAAATACTTCCATTATGATTACTATTAAGATCTATAAGTGAACATAAATCATTTTTCTAAGTAATAATTTTGTTAAGTTAACATTTAAAATTAAAAGTAGTATATTGCTATCATAAATTTGGTGAGTTCACAACTGTAATTGGGTAGACTATATTTGAGGGTGCCCCTTGATTCTCGCCAAATTGTGATCGCGGTTGATCGCCAAGCTGGGCCATGTTGAAACCCAATCGTGATTCTGATTGGTTTAGATTTTAGCGTTATTTTTAAATGTTCAATGTTCAGCGGTACATGTAATATCAGAGGTCCGTTAGTTCTACGTTGGATACCGGCTAGTAAGGTTACTTTTGAACCTGGTCAATAAGATCGAAGGTATGAGGGCAGTCATAAAAAGGGATTTAAGAAAAAAATGTCACCACTAGTCCGGTAT